CCGCTGCTCCTGGCCCGGGGTACTGGGAGTATTAGACGCCAGCAGCAGCCAATTTTGTAGTGTCTTTTAATACACAAAATTGTATTAACATCAACATGGTTACAGATGGATGCCCTGCAGTAAACTGTAACCACTTGAGAAAAGCCTTTATTGACTCCCAAGTAAATAATGCACATTTTAAAGGACCTAAATATGCATTTACATAATGTGCTGTAATTTTTTATTGTGTCAACTTCCCACATGCACATCCATAAGACATGTTTTTCTTTGTCAAAAATTTGGACTCCTACCATTAACATCATACCAGCTTCATAATGGTAGTTTCTCTCTTCTGTAGGGCCTCGTCTGCCCGTCTCAAAGTACATGTAATGAATGTTTCTGTTTGTTTGATTGATTTAACCCCAGTCATCTTTCTAAAATGACTCGAGACAACTAAAATAAAAAATAAATTGAGTTACAATAATATCTAATCCAAGATAAAGAAAGAAAACAAAGTTAGGTGTTGATGAAATCTTCACTCTGAGTTTCAGTGAGCATCCTTGTCTAGTGAAAGAGGAGTAACAGGTAATCCAGAGAAATAGCATGTATTTAATAATAATTAACAGAGCTTTGTGATGTCTATAACAAACAAATTTCTGTGTGCAGAAATTAAAGCTGAGGATCTTGAATGATTTATATCCAGTTCCGCAGTGAACTGGTAACTGAACCAGAGATCCCTAAGCATGAGGAAACAGCGGTTGTGAAGGATGACCCTGTAAAATGCGGACTCAGCAGTTGTCTGATTGGAAACTACAGGCGAAATGATTTCCTGGTATTAATTAAGAATTAATTGATCCTTATAGATCAGTTGTAGAATTAGTAGAGGTTTTTATTAAACTCTATGCCACAAGGAAAAGGTGAATAAATTGTTTTCAGTAAAATATAATAAACTAGATTGGGCATGGTGGCTCATACCTATAATCCCAGTACTCTGGGAGGCTTAGGCTTAGGAGTTTGAAACCACCCTGAGCAAGAGCAAATCCTGTTCCTACTAAAACAGAAAAAATTAGCCGGGTGTTGTGGCAGGCACCTGTAGTCCCAGCTACTTGGGAGGCTGAGACAGGAGGGTCACTTGAACCCAGGAGTCTGAGGTTGCTGTGAGCTGGGCTGACGCCACAGCACTCTGCCCTAGGGCAGCAGAGTGAGGCTCTGTTCTCAAAAATGGGGGGAAGGAATACATAAATATGTATGTGTAAATAAATGAACTAAGGTCTCAATTTAAGTTTCTAATGACTTTCTTTTATATATTTAACAACAACAAAAGAATGGCAAAGATGTTTACAATTAACAATTAGTGGGGAAATACCATGGTCCTGCCAAGCCACTTCCTTTGTCACATTTCTTTAACTTTTAGATGCCTGATGTTTGTCCAGGTGAATGTTTTCCTGATCAGCATTCTCTGGCCACCGTGATTTCATCCTCTTAGCAGTTCCTTACCACTTTCTGTGGAGCGCCTCTGGGTCATCAGGTCAGCCTCCCAGGCTCTGGACAGTGAAGTGCTGCCTCCTCTGTGTCTGACTTACTCCAGAGGGGAGTGTAGGCTCAGGCTGTTCACAGGCTGGTTTGGGAAACACCAGGTCCCATCCTTAACTAGAAGCTATTAGATCACAGTACTGGGTCAGTTTCTTGTTGCCAGCCCGATAACCGTACCATAGTGAGTGAAAAAAGTCCTTGGGTCTTTAAAGCCAGTAGCATGATTTCCAGAGTAAGACATGACCACAGCCCTTTAACTTTTTAATTTATGGATTCGAATTCAGTGATGATCATGGATTCTAAGATTTATTATTCATTGTCTTAAAGTCTTTAAGTTTTGCCGGTTTTTCTACAAGCTTCCTGGCTCTTTGCCAGGTAGAGAAATCAAGTTTTGTTTTTTGCAAATTTGCATACCTCATTGCTGAATATCACTACAGTCACCTTCAGAGTACTCCCCTTAGGAAGCTGTGGATCAGCACCTGATTTTGGACCTTTTTTTCTGAAACGGCCATCAAAGCTGTCACTATATTGCCCTTAATATCCTGACTTTCATCAGAATGTCTTCCTTTCAAAATTTCCTTTATCTCTGAGTAAAGAAAAAAGTCACTGGGGACAGATCAGGTGAGTAGGGAGGGTGTTCCTTTATAATTGTTTACTAGCTAAAAA